TCTACAATGTAACAGTCATCCAATCATACTTTTCTAATAAAGACCGACTAGGAAGCTGAAATTTTAGTAGCTTAATCACAAACAATTTTAAGTAAGCTAGTGTGTTTTGACCCCTTGATATTTGACCCTTATAGTTAGCCATAAATTTAGCAAAATGGACGCCAATTACAGTAGGCCTAAAGCTATTTCTGTAGGCACGAGGGGTAGCAGGAAAGTCTTGTAAACAGTGTAGAAGTACTGAAACATGTGTCTCAAAGGGCACACCCTTGATCTTTACCGACTTCTGGTGGGAAACAAAATCTCTATTGTAAATACTAAAAAACTATTCTGAACATTCTTTTCAAAAAGAACTACTTCTTGGTGGTTTAGGGACTTTGTTGTAAACATGTGTTCAAAACTCTCATGTAAACACAGGCATCCTATATATTAAAACGGTAAAAGGGTTTTTTTATTTCACGATTCTGAATCAACCACTTGATGGATTTTTATGATTGTTGTGTTGAAAGAAAGATAATTTTGAAAACTAGGGAATGTCGAAGCCATAATTTTAGTTTAGGTTTTCAGTTTTTTAGAAATTAAGTTTTAATTTTCAAAAATTCTAGCAGCTGAGGGAAGAGTTTACAAGTAGTTTTAGTGGTGGTTTAACTAATAGCTGGTTTCTAACTGTCATTGAAATGTTTATGTTACAAGTTGTATGTGTACAATAATTATTTTTGTAAAAAAATACAACCGACTTCAAACGCTCTAAAAAGAATGAAATACCGTAATTTCAATAAAGTAAACTTTTGTCAGTGTTGGGGAAGCTACTTTTAAAATGTAGCTAGCTACAACTACTGCTACATTTCCAAAAAAGTAGCTTAGCTACAGCTACAGCTACAGTTCCGAAAGAGTAGCTAGCTACAACTACAGCTACAATGAAATGTAGCTACAGCTACAATTTTAGCTACTTTTCCAAAGACGCACATTAGGTAAATGTAAAATTAATTGCATCTACATTTTTATTGAACAAACATTTAAACAAAAAATGTCAGTATTGTATCTAACATTACTTGGAAAACAAATTATTCCTAGATTGTATTTAATTTGTTGGCATTATAAACCTAACATTACAACAACAGAACCAAATAGTTGGGTGTCCCATCATATTTAGTTCTTATTTTTAAATATTGCATTATTTTTAACCATCTTATATGTAAATTTCATTAAGTTCAAAGGACATACAACCAAAGTATATTTTAAAATCTTATTTAATTTCTTTAATATAGATTCATTTATAGATTTCTTATATCAACAATTAAGACTAATAAAACTGTAAAACAATTATTTAAAAATATTTTTTTGTGTTACAGAGCTTATAGCCTACTGAAATTGGAGTTTATTGCCTTTCTATACTTTTAATGTTAAAAACGACTTTGCTATAACTTTTAACCATATAGTGATAAGTTACTTGTTCTATGAATAAAACTTTTCAATGTCAAGAAATCGTCCTTTATTGTCATTATGCATAGGGCAAATTGTGCTTCAATCTAGTTGATACAGAAAACAGTATTCAGCAACTTATCCTGAAATCGGCTTTTAATTTAAACATGTTGAAATTTGTAAAGTAAAAATAACATGTAGGCCTACTTGGCTATGTAACAAGTTGGCTATAGTAGGCTTGTTCTTGCGCAAGGACTAAACAGATATATTCCTAATAACTGAACTTGGAACTTGTTATTCGTCTTAAACCATAGAATAGAATAGGAATAGTCCTATACAAGAGCTGTTAGCAGGAGCAAACTATGCTATTTTTTCAATGTAAGAGTTTTTTTCGTTACAATTATCATGTAGTCTAGGCATATCTTAAATCTCATCAGGTAATTTCCTCTTTGTTAGTTTAGTAAACCTTTGAAAAATCTTCGTAATCTAACCAAGGAAGGGCTTGTGATGATGAACCACAATCAACAGCTGAAGCAAAGGTTGATAGACCAGCTTTCTCATTATTTTAAGGTTTAGTGTTGGTTTCAATTAAAACCCAAGTTGAAACACTATCGATATAATAAAGGAACTAAATTGATTACTAATTTCCCTGTCAATCACTTGCAAGCATTCAATAGCTTCTCTTGTCACCGGTACGTTTAAACGTCGTCTGCATCTAGCGATTTTATTTTATCTGACAGTAATCATAGAGTAGTAAATTAAGGAAATGAGAGCAAAAAATGTGGATAACACTGATTTAATGGCCTCCATGTCCACACAACGTTGTAATAGGGAATGAAACGGCTACAACCAGCTGTATGAAGCCAAGAAAGTAGGCCAATTTTTTTTTTAAATCTCAGTTTGAAAGAGGTTGTTTCACGTAAGGTTGAGGTTATGATAAAATTCACTATCTCAAACAATGTTAATGTAGCGAGAAAAGTAGCTAAAATTCCGCTACAACTACTTTAAAAATGTAGCTAGCTACAGCTAAAGCTACAAAATCTTAAAAGTAGCGTAGCTACAGCTAACGCTACAAACAAAGTAGCGCGCTACTGTAGCATCGCTACTTGTAGCGCGCTACTTCCCAACACTGACTTTTGTATCAGTCAAGCTCACGTATTTTAAGTCGGCGCGGTTCTATGATAATTTTTGATACAAAATTGAAAAAGGGTGTCCATATTGCAGGTGACTATCTATAACTAAACGTTTTAATCTGCATGTCTTTTTCATAGTTATGCGTTGGGTGTTATTTTATTAACGTAACCTAAGAAGTGTATTCCAAGGAGTACTACAAAGTAGACGACCACTTGGAAGACCAAGTAATGAAAGACATATTCAGACTGGTATCTTCCTTAGAAATTGCAGGTGATAGAAGAGAACGGGAGGCCAGGATCATTTTAGAGGTTTCAGTGGCCAAGGTGGTAAAATAAGGTACGGTAAGTGATAGTATGTAGTGGAAGGTGACGTAGCTACTGTACTCAAAGCCAGTTAGTTGTGTGTGAATCGGCCACCAAGTTGTAAACTAGCGGTTCTGAATCATATTCAGTTTTAATTTACTACTCGATTCCCGTACGTAGGACGGGCCAACAGCTCGTTTTTACTTAAATTATAATCATCATAGCCTAAGTTATCAATGGATTAGGCTAATAAGTTAAACAAAGATGAGTCAAAATAGTCACAGCTAACGTTGTATTAGGCTAACAATAATATTACCTACCGTACTGGAAATAATGCAAACCTTAACTTAAGCTTTGGTTTTATGACGAGAAATTTGATATTTTATAAACACTCACTATTTTAAATCTGAATAGGCCTAGCTTAAGTTAGCCCTTATGAATTTATTTTTAGGCTTGAAGGATTTTCTCAGCATCAAAATACAAGAAGTCCACTAAAGTCCACTAAATGCGAATTATAAGTTAAGTAAAAATTGTTTAAGATAAACTCTGCACTGGCTAACAGGCTGCTGATAAACTAAAGCATTAAGTGATTCTCCCACAAAAGAGTTTAAAGGTTTGTTACCCATGATGGTCAAAATGAATTCCTCCGGTTCTCTTAAAGAACTTTTATGAGGCTTAAAAACGGGGTAGCGGATTTTTATCCCCCTGGAATTTTACCTCCTGGGCAAACGGCATGTCACAAACCAGGGGGTAAAATTCCGGCCGCGGACTTTTGAGTTTCGCGACATCAGCTCGATGGATTAAACGCGGAATTAAACATATAATTTCACAGTTGTGAATTTAATCAGAACACATCAAATTATAAAAACCTAGAATGTACGGCTTGGATTTTTACCCCCGGAATTTTAACCCTCGGATTTTTACCCCCGGAATTTTACCCCCTGGCCAGATATATAAATTAGTGAGAATGATTACCGTAGGTACTTATCTTCATTCAGTTTTAATTTAATAGTAAACATTTTATTATTAAGTAGCCTATCTTAATTTATTTGTAACATTAACTTATCGAACATGTTTTTAATTTTAATTTTGAGATTCGTGTATCAGGATTCGATCTTTGAAGCCAACTGTTGTTAATATGATCAAAATAAAACAGCGAATTCTGTTTACTTAGTTGAGATTACAAAATAAATAAATAAAGATAGGCTACTAAATAATGAAATGTTTACAATTAATTAAAAACAGAAATAAGAAAATCAATCGTTCAATTTCTAAAATCGGCCAGGGGGTAAAATTCCGGGGGGTAAAAATCCAGGGAGAAAAATTCCGGGGGTAAAAATCCGGGGGTACAAATCCGGCCCGTACATCTTCAGTTGTCCAAACGCTAGTTATATGGACAGGGGGTAAAATTCCGGTTTTCATCGCTAATCTAATTAATCACGCTCTGACTATTTTCATTAGACTTCCAAATCCGCGGGGGTAAAATTCTGGCTGCGAACAAACTTTTGGCCACTCAGGTCAGTACGTCATAGTGACGTCAGCTTTGCCAAGGGGGTAAAATTCCAGGGGGATAAAATTCCGGCGACCCAGGGTTAGAGTGTGAATCACAATCTAACCCTTAGTTTGTGAATCTGAGATAATGACATGATGATAGGCTAGTGGTATTATTTGCGACATGGTTCAAAGGATGTGGGTGATTCTTAAGTTATGTAACAATCAAAATAAAGGCTGCACTTTAGTTTACGTCCTACATTTACTCACATAGGTAAGGGCTTACTCAATGCAGTTTGGTTAAGGTTAGGTTTAGTTTAGAACAGTTTTATTTTCTAATCAGCTGCTAAGTAGTTACCCTATTGTATAGTAGTAAATGTAGGACTAAACTGAAGTGCAACCAAAATAAATCTGGGAACTCCAACAAAGTTGGCTTAGCCTAGGTCATGATTGGTTACATGCTTGTTCTGTTATTTTGTGTTTTGATACTTTTGTGGCCTAATTTTAGTTGCTGCCTATGGATCAGTATTCTTGAAACAATGATTATTTTCTTTTATAACTATTTTATAATGCTAACCTTATGTAGGCCTATATTCCTAACTTGTTGCTAAATTGCGCAACGGGAAATCGGCTAAGAATAAACAAATTACTCACCTCCATATTGAGAGCTTGAAAGTCCAACTAAGTTTAACTTGGTCACAGATTTAAAACTAAATCAATTAATAATGTGAACAAAATCCAGTTAGCCTATATTACTCAGAGCAGTCACAATAACAATTAACTCTTCACAAAGTACAACACAAGTTTGAGTGTTTGACAATGAAATCTCAACCTCGACGCAGCCACTCTCCCACTTACAACAAAGGCCACGAATGTTTTTTGTTTGTGTTCAGCTGTTTTCCTGTTGAGCACGATCAGCTGATTTGAATCTATTGTCTGTTGCATAACATTCTAAACATGTTTGTTAAGGCCTCTCAGTTTTATTTCATACAAACATATAAAGTATGTTGAATGTAAATTTATGAGTTTAATCATGGTTTAATCATTTATGTAACTTGTCTACAGTACTATAAAAAAAGACTAACATAATATTTTTTGTGTAACAATAAGGTTAGACAGTTTTTGGTCTAGCCTGCCTACGCTAGCAGAAAGATCATAATTTGATTTTATGATATTATCTTGGAGACAGACTTATTGCAATAATGGAATGGAATGGGCTGGTATCATGGTGGAATTCCACCATGGGTTGGTATACAAAGCTTTTTCTATAATTTATATTCAAATGCATTTCCATGTAATTTTGAAACCTTTGTAAAAGAATCAAGCCAGATAGCAAAAAGTTTAGCCTTATTAATACTGTTATTGCTTCTTTGTGTAGGCTACTGTTTGTAAAGTTCAGTTGGGAGTTTTTCGTTCATGGCCGTATGATGTTTGTATTTATATCAATATTTTTACTGTACCAAACTGCATGCCAATATATTTTGAATCAATGTTTGTGTCGTGAAGAATTTGTTATTTCTTAAATATGTAAGTTTGCTATGCCCATTGAATTTGTAAAAAACCTCCTACAGTACATGGAAAAAATATAAAACTTATTTAGTCTTGTTGAACCCCTCCCCCCCATATATTTTATAGTCACTGAAATGTCATATCATATAATTTAAAATTTAATTTTTAGATTTATGGCCAGAAATAAGCTGCAGTACCAAAAATACAATTAAAAATCTCCAAACATTGGGATTAAGAACCAATTAAAAATACTATAACACTTAAGACAGTTTGTTCACCAAACTTTGTATTGCCAAAGCCATCAACTTTTGGACTAACGGATGATGATAAGCTATACTTTTACTAGAATAAAATTCAAAATAAGCACAACAAAATAAACACATTTTAAGTAAAAACTTTAATCACACTTTTTCCAAGTCATCTAAATAAATCTACATAATCTAAACATTCATTATCACAGTTGGGTGGTCCTCTAAGGTTCATCAGAATCAGATGGCGTTGTTGCACAATAGGAGGTCATCTCTTGTACAGTGCAGGATTTGAGGCAGCACTCATCCGCCAGTCCGCTGCGTCTCACGCGCTGCATCCCTGGGATCAGCCGCATAGCCTGACGTCGGGTGAGGAAGTGTTCCGTGTCTGGGTCCAAATACATCTCAGACATCCAATGGGGCTCTGCCTCTGAATCCTCTGTATCTGCTTGCAAGGTCAAAAGTTGACATTCATCCAACTTACTGTAAACTTACTTATTCCTATAAATTACTAAAATATTTGTTTCATCTTGAGGACCACACAAATTTGCACCAGGGAAAACTCTTGTAGTTAAAATGAACCAACGACTGTAGCATAGTAGTGATTTGGGCAAGCCCTAACATTGTTAGTTAGAGCCTGCCTAGACTATCTTACCAATTACTTAGTCTATGAAGCCTGTACTGTAATGATACTTTACTGTCTTTATATAATCTATGATGAAGAGTAGTTGAAAGCATTGACACTCATCAGCAATGTTGCTAAACTTATCTTTTGCTAAACTATCTAAACCAGAAATTATTGGTTTATCTCGCCAATCCCTTTGATTAAAAAATTGTCTTTAAATAAAAGTCTTTTTTGATTTGGTGGTGTATAACACATTTTAATTAGGGATTACCAGATTGAAAGAGAGTTTTTTACAGCTATCTATGTATTTTATCAGTTCTGCCGATGTAATTATCAATCAATTAATTAACGATTAGGTAGTTGAAATGGGGACGCCACCTAGGTGCGTATTTTAACCCAAATATGAGTAAAGGATGAGTGTAAAATATGGAGTGTGATGCCTTGTGTTTATGTAACTTGTTACTGACTAAGACCAGCTGTTTCATTAGTTACCATTTATTGGAAGCCCAATGATCAAGGACAGCTGGGTCTAGTTTTGAACCATCAAAAGTCACACTTTTCTCAGGATTGAACCGGCTACCTTTTGATTAGACTAGCACTATAACCACTGAGATACCCAGCTGTTATAGTATACTATACATCATCATTTATATTATATAACCACTGAGGTTATAGCTCGGCTAGTAATCAAAAGGTCGCTGATTCGATCCTGAGAAAAGTGTGATTAAAAGTGTTCAATGCATGACTGAAAAGTAATAATGTCGGGACTTAGGGAGACCTACGATACTTATTTTTTCTAATACTGTTTTTATCCTAAAAACCTATAACAAAAACTGAAAAATTGATTGAAGAGTGGTGTTTCCACCCATAGTCACTTCCAAGATGCATTAGTTTTATAACTATCATGTATCGATGAATCCAAAATTAGATGGTTAAGAAGCCTTATACAAAATTAGGGTGTTTCTAAGAGTTCAAATATTTGTTACCTAAGCTGTTGGAACGCTTGCCATAAAACCCATCATGCTGGTCACACAATAGGCTCATAGCTTGTGTAAGAGCAGGGCCGCAGAGTCTCTTCCCCGTCCCAGGTTCCACAGTAACAGCCAACAATATTGTGATGGTTGCGAATGAGATTTGTAGCCGCCCCATGTCCTGCGGAAAAAGACAATTAGTATGTGGTTCTCGGTTCTTAAATTTGAAAACCTATCTGTTAAAAATTCAATTTGATAAACATTCTGTCCCACGATGTCACTGCTTTCAGCAACTTTGCATCTGCTATTTAAAGAGAGAGATGGAAGACATTCTGCAATCAACATACTTTTTGACAACCAAACATTAAAACAAATAAATTATGTCCACGTGGACTGTCTTGACCAATGAGAGCTGATTGCAGTGAAAATCGGCAAAGAAACGGGGATTCATCGGGAAAGTCTCGCAGTAACAATCCGATCCTTTAAGTCCCAATTTGGTCGCGACTCGTGAGTGTGTGAGATAGTTTTTTTTTTAAATGGCCTGTTGCACTTTAAGGCTGATTACATTCAATATAGGGTAGTGCCCAGTGGGAATCAAAGTATGTATGTTATGTCTTAATTAATTGTATTGTATCTTATAGCTGCTTGCCAATTCAAAGATGATAATTTAAAATTTAACAATTCAAAAGAATTCATAAGTAACCATTTAAATTTTATCTAGTAAAAGTAATCACCCTTATTTTATATTTTTTCCCAATTCACTGTTTGTTTTAGTTCAATATTTGTGCTGGTCATTTCCTTAGTTAAGTAGGTAGTACATAATTACATTTGTTAGGTTCTTTGTACCTTTAATTTCATAAAAAGTTTTGTATTAGTTCTTTTAAAGTGCAATTAGTAATTTCATATTTAAATGGAATTTTTATTCAATCCCTTACAATTAGATACCACCCCAAAGTTACAATTACAGTAACAAATAATAATAAATGCATTTTATGGTAGTAAGCAAAAACAAGATAACGAGTAAAAAAATAGATATTGTGTCAAGGTGGCAATTTAAAATTTGTCAATACTGACCTTTGAGCAGAGCAAAAAAGGTTGATTGCAAAGCTTGGGGAAGCGACTAGTTTTATATTGATTATTACCAAGAAAAACCATGATTAAGCTTTTTTTGACATTTACCTCATCAATTTGAGAAAAATTATACTACTGCCACTCAAACCCAATCTTATGAACTTGAGGTCCTAATAAATAGTTTTTGATAAAAAAAAAAGTACAGCAATTATACATAAATGCAAGTATACTTCTTCTAAATCTATTTCAGTTTAATTGTTAAGCCAATTTTGATCTTTTTTGTATTTAAATCCAGATATTAAGTCTAAATACACTTTGTATTATCGTAGGAAAGTTCCAATCGCTAGAAATGATAAGGAATTGTGATTGATGAATTTCCTCCAACAAGCGCCACATCACTCGCCATTACGATATTTGCCATAATCACTAGGGACATAATCACTAAAATGCTCATTGGGCATCTGACACTGAACACATTACATCAAATGTATCCAATCAGTTTTTTTTTAATATTTTGGCATGTAATGGAAGTTAAATCTACTAACATTATTTGCAGTGCTTTGAAAAATGTTTTTTTTTTAGTTTCCACTTTCAAAAACAGTTTCAACTACTAAAACACTTAAAAATCAAATAATGTTCCATAACAACAAATGTCACTAAACAATATTGCCAAACAAGGAAATAAAAACTACTCACTTTGCATAGGAATAAAACTATTATAATTTAAAATTGTAACCTCTAACTTAATTATCAATATAGGTAAATGGTACATACCTGTAAAATAGAAGATGGAGAAATGAGAGAGATCCATGATCTTCATTGTTTATATATCTGGTCAATATGCAAATTGGATAAAATTCTTAGAAGAAGGTTAGTTAAAATGCAGATTCTAACACGAGCGACTGCAGGTGACTGCTTAATAAACTGAAAATTAAGTGTCAAAATAAATTTAATGCAGCTGCTGTATGTATATTTTACATTCTCTCCCTATAGAGATTAAAGTACCGTATTGTTTTTGTCAAAATATTCGAGTTTGCAAATCAGCATGATCAGACTAAGGGAATCGGATTGTATAAGGGATTTAGAAAAATAAAACTTAGCAATTTCTTTCAAAACTATTTGTAGAGCTTTGAAAAAAAAATTTGGAAGCATTGTTGTATGCCTAAACCGTTAAAGGAGAAAATCCCAAAAAAGAGTAAATCTTGCGGAGAGTAATTAAACATTTGTCGTTTGATTGTTTGTGGATAAATTTAAATAAAATTTAGCAATATTGTTTATTTAATACTAAGCGAACAATATTTCAATAAAAAACACACCTTATTACCTTCCTTGTAGCACCTATAATTGCTTATTAAAATTTATGTTGTTAATTTTAAATAAACCTGACAATTTTAAGAGAGTATTTAAGTGGAATACCAGCTAGGTAAATGGAAATTTGTTTAGTTTGTAGGTTTGCTGTGACGGTGATATTACATGTGTCGTGGCTGTAAAGGAATGGTGAACATTTCATTTATTTATATAAATTGGTTTGATTTATTTTTAGCATAGTTTTGACGTTACCTATCGTATTATTACTGAATGGTATAATAAATCTCTTGAATCTTGCTCTTGAAAAGGAAGTTCTTTTTATTCCTGTGTTAAAAACTAATCAAAAGAAGTATAATATTTCAACTATATTTATTTTCTGTAAACTTGTTTCCAAATTTTGTAAAAAATAGTACAGATTAATAAATTGACTTTTGTGCTGTTATAACAAAGTTTTATTATTTTTAGTGTTGTCTGTACCTTTGAATGATGAAAATGATGATTATTTTTACATTTCATAGCTTAAGAAGGTCAGTGATGGACGATGGGAATTTAATTAAGCTGCCTTCTCCGTGGAAACAAGAGCACTGATCAAGAATAAACTTTGTTCAATAGCTAAGTCTTGTTATTTAATCCTAACCTAAGTTATTTGTGAAAATTAATTATTCAAAAGCCTAATTTAGTTTGATATTGGACTCATTTTCTTCTAAATTGTTAGTATATTTTGTCCTCTGTTTAATACCAATCAGCTGTTTAGAAAAAGGTAATATTTTGTACAGCATGCCATTATTCATTCTCTGCTGATTATATAAAATAAACTATACACTCTGTTCACAAAATTTAGGTCTGTAGGGGAATCAATTCCATCCCCTCCACCTTACCCTACATTTGAAACAACAGCTGGTCAGCTGTTACACTCAAACCGTCAATCAGCTGTAGCATTGTTGAAATAATTAATGTATGCTCGATTTTTATTAAAAACGAACATCATTAAACAGAATAACAACAAATAAACAAGTTAAATTGCATAGAAACTAGAACAGCTGATCAATGTATAAAATCAAGGATATTAGAAATTATCACAAACTTACATTGAGAAAAAAGTGGTCGGGGAACCCAGGAAAACTTCCCCTCAAACCGCCTACATTTTGTGAACGAGCTATAGTAACAGGGGCGGCGGAAGCAAATTTTTGTTAGGGGGTCAGAAACCCATGGCGGAGGTCCACATCCGGGGGGTCTGGGGGGTATGGAATACCCCCCAGGGTACAAGGGGGGGTCCGGGGGCCCTCCGCCGGGAAAATTTTGAAAAATAGAAGCCTTAAAACGTGTTTTTAGGCTACCTGAAGAACATTTTTCTTCAAGCAGTAACAAAGAAAATTTACAATTTTACAAAGACGCTACTCTGTTCATTATAAAAACATTATAATAAATAATACACACACATCTCAAACAAACAAAAAATGAAGTACTGGTGCCCAGATTTTACTAAAGCTGTCAGCAATGAGTTGCTGCAGATGACAGAGAAGAATAAACAAGCTCTAAGCCCTAGGGATTTATGTGTTCGCGTAATTTCGGCAGGCTCTGCCCCTCCCCCTCAAAACTGAATTAATAATAAGTTAAATTAAAATTGGCTGCTTGATTATAGTTAATCACAAAAGTAAGACGGTAGGGTATAACGTAGAGGTGTATAGTCAATGGTATAACCAAGTAAGTGTGTCCACTGAGGCTAAATAATGGTTTACACAAAAAACATTACAAACATTGTATTGGCACAACATAAAATTACTAAGAAATACAAAACCTTTTTGATGAATTATTGCTAAAATAAGTAAAATCCCACACGAGAATCTCAAGATATTAGCCTACTACAAGTTTACTCGATTTGTAAACTTCTGCTGATGAAACTTCAGTAGGCCCTAACTTGAACTTCAGTCTTTGAAATTCCTGAAAACTGCACAGCGACTTTCAACTCTATTGACAAACATTCGTGCAATGTGCTTATCATCAATAGATTTAGCAATGTCCCTATGGACGGATAAGATGGCAAGATGGTTCAATCTCTTCTGCGTCATCGTGGAACGCAGCCACGTTTTCAAGCGACGAAGACAAGAAAAGGTTCTTTCTGCAGTTGCTGCAGACGCTGGTAAGACAAGCAGAAACTTGACAACCTTTACTACTTCAGACAAAAATCGTTTGTTTTCTTGAGGCTCACTATTTAAAGTCACAACTAAATCACGTACACTTTTAACTTCCTTCTTTTTTGGTAAATCTTGTAGACGGTTTAATTGGCTTGTAAGCTTTTTCTTGTCCAAGTCAGTAATTAACTCTCCAGGAATTAACCCAAAATTCCAATACGATCATGAACATCAATTAAATTAATTATTACTTTTATAAGGTTTTGTGAGTATTAAGCCCCTTCATAATAAATGTAATAGATTATTATTAATAACTAAATTGTTTATCTCAAATCAAATCAAATCAAAATCTCTTTATTCCTGAATTAATGTTACATGTTTGTTAACAATTGTGTGTACGGGAAAAATAATTCCCAAGTAGACTATCCGTCTGTGTTTGGGAATGAGTTGCTAATACAGCTATACACAGGTCCATAAACATTCAGGAGTACTTAGACAAAAAGTTGGGCTAAAGTAATATTTTAATATCAGTTAAGGTATTACAACTTTAAAGGACAAACATTATAATTTTATCATCACCACACATCTTTGCAACGTATGGCTTAGCTCCTAGTTGTGTATTATATATAAATTTAAAGCTATATTTCACAAAAATACGATGGCAAGTGTACTTAAAGTAAGCCGCTCCATTTTTAACTCAGCAGAGGGGAAAGAGCGAAGCTGCCAAGTCTAATATTGGACTGTAGACGATGTTGAACTCTTCAGCCTACATACAAACAAGTTCTGGACGAACCATTTTAATCGTTTTTGATCCTAGTGCAGTTTACACCGTTATAAGAATGAATAAAAATGAATGTCAGCAATTTCATCACTCAAAAACCACTAGATCATTGATCATTTAACTTATGCTGATATTTATTTAAATAAAATACATTTACTGTATTTGGGAATAGGATTACTATTGGCTTATTTAAATTTCTTTAATAATAATAGGTTAAATACCTTGTATACGTCCTCAATCCAAGTCGTCTTTTACAATGACTATAGTTTCGGGGCCAACAGCCCCATTGTCAAATTTTCTGTCTTGTTAATTACTGTTTATAGCATTGGTCACCGTTGAAGTTCACATATACACATACACTGACACACGAAACATTTATATTTACACGTAACATTGAAAAATTATACTTTTTGGCCGGCCTAAACAAAAGTGATTACATCGTTGTGCGGACCGGTACACTGACAGAAATAAATAAATAATAAATAATAAATTAAATAATAATAATAAATAATAAATTAAATAATAATAATAAATAATAAATTAAATAATAATAATAAATAATAAATTAAATAATAATAATAAATAATAAATTAAATAATAATAATAAATAATAAATTAAATAATAATAATAAATAATAAATTTCTTTACTAGGGACCTAGGACTTAACCTCTTTTTTCTTTTATTTTTGAGGTAGAGCTTTTCGAAGCATAGTGATTAGTTTTTGTTTTAACGGAATTTGCACATTGCACAAAATTGCTGCTTACGTTCCAATAAAGGTGTTTTTGTCATACTGCAGCAAAAACAGTGGTTTTTAATACATATGTGCGGGTACCCTACGGAGTAAAAAGCCGCCTGTTTAGTCCCTAGGGAGTAAAAGTCAGCTGTTTTAAACTTTAATCGTAAGCAGTGGCATGAATCATAATCATAAATAGATTGATTTAATCATTTTTAGCTTGCTTATTGTTGCATTCTTGTCAATAGGTCAACATATTGAACCCTCGCTCATTTTCCGTGAATCTTGAGCTCGGATAATAAAAGAGTCACTTTATGCGTTAGTGCTAAAATATACGTTTAACATTTTGCCATAGAGTGTGTACAGTATGTATACTGTATTAGCAATGATTTTTTTAATACATTATGTGTTGCGGAGCTAAAGCAGTTCCTTTTCATCCCAGAGCAAAAAAGAATCAGCCTGTGCTGAGGACATAAACTTTACATTTATATATTTTTTAATTTGTCCGCTGATTTTGCCTAAGAAATAATCCAGCAAAAATATTGTTTCTAAAACTTGTTTGTGTTAATAATTATGTCACATTGTATGTTTTACCATAATACCTATTTATTGGAATTTAGACAAAATGATATGTAGAAGAGTTCCAGTAATAAATATGAATGTATTGTTGTGATACAGAAATTGGTTTTTCATTTTCTTAATTGGTTTTTGAAATATTGACATTTTAAATAAAATTATTGTAACATTTCATCAAGAAAGCTAAATAACAAAAAACTTATTGCGACAAGTTCCTAAGACAGCTGTTAATTAATAGTCCATACAGCCGATGGCAACTAAGGGACCTACAGTTCATAGTGGAATCCGAACCAAATTTATTTCCTTGTAATTAAGAAATTGGTCTAATTATCAGGATAGTACTGCGGATAGTCGTAGTACTCACTAGTGCAGACGTTAATCCACACGAGGGAGCATCGCATAGGTTTAATGAGCACCTAGGTTTGCTGCTACAGGGAATGAAGTGTGTTTTTTAGTAAAAGATTAGTACTGCAGCTTAGTATAGAATAAATAAATTTGCAAAGTTTAATCAAAATGTATGCATAATCATGCAAAATACAACAGTTGACTTATTCTCCATAAGAATAACATGTGAATTTTGAATTTTCTCCGTTACCAATAACTCTACAAAAACACTTCAATGTACTAAATTATTTTTTAAGCTCTTCAAAATAGTTACAGAGAAATTAGGTAATTTTATGTTTTTAAGGTTGAAAATGGGAAAACCCAATTTTTACCCCATAAAACCCCCCGAAAACACAAAGAAGTATTGATACCAATAAGACATTGCTTATCACTGAAGTTCCATCATGGCCCATACATTCAAAATATTTGATCTATCAATGATTTAATACTAAACACAATATATACCTAATGTATCACAAGTCATTCCTTCAAAATAAACTATCTTGTGTTTTTCTTCTTTTCTTGTTGAGATATTTAAATATTCATGTTGCACGTGGGAGGCCATGTTATTGTAAATAAGGATGTCTTGGTTCAGAAACACAATTACAACATCCCTATCTTGGATGGGGTTGATTTTTAATGAAGTCCAAATCAATTTCCTCAAGGTTTATCGTTAGTTGTTATAAATTACGAGGTTTACAATATTCAAATAGCCTATATTTAATTATATCCTAAAAATGTGTTTGAAATATTTGTTTAAGGATAACTTGTGCTATTTGTCTTTGAATGCACAATCATCAAATCTGTCACATAGAATTTCAAAGTATGTAGACACAGTTGGTAGTTATATTATAATATTTTTTTACTCTCAGAAATGGCTATAAACAGAATTGATATTCACCCAAATTGTATAGAGACAATAAGTAATATAAGTAGTTATAAACTATTTAAGAACTATTGCTTGTCCCTGAATAAAGAAATATTTTTTAGAACTTTAAAATATA